CCTTTTTCACTTGAACTTAATCCTACCGCATTATTCTGAGCGACAGCATTCTCTTCACATACCTCGGTTTAGTAAGTTGCATAGATCACACACACAGACTTGTGTTAAGAGAATACTGATTAGATGCATGAGCGCCACTGTTTGCGACACCCAGTCATATCGTCAGTGTCTCTACCCATTTGCGTCCATGATCCCGGGGTCCCCAGCCGGGAAGCCTAATGGGACCTATGTGATCTAATCTTTGGATCAGGGTTTTCATACCCTCATGCCAGGTCTTAGTTTGACTATCCTTGACCTTTTCCCAATCTCTCCCTGCCAGGTGCTAACCAGGCTATCTCCGGTGTATCTCAAACTCTGTGGGCAGTGGTATCTGAACCTCCTATTGCTGCAGAAGTTCGTTTTTGCATCCAAGCCCTGAAGAAAGGAAAGGCAACAGGACCGGACAGGCTTCCTCCCACTCTTCGCAAGATGGGGACAATGACCTCCTAGGCTCAATTACTGATATAATACGTAAAATCTGGTCACACGAGCGCATTCCATCATCCTGGAGCGAATCACTGATCGTTCCAATTTTAAAGAAGGGATCTCGCAACAACTGCGCAAACCACCATGGAATAAGTTTGCTCCCAATCATCACCAAGTTGCTAGCATCCATCATACTTCTACATCGGGCTCCGTTCAGAGGGACTTATATCCGCGAACAACAAGCAGGATTTCGACCAGGTCGCGGTTGTATCGATCATATCTTCACTCTGCTTCAAGTCCTCGATCTACGCCGTACGCACCGTCGTGTTCCTTGACGAAAAAGGAGCCTTCGGCTCAGTTGATCGTGAATCCCTTATGGGTTCGCTCCTTCGCAAAGGAATGCCGCAGAAGTACGTGAACATACTGATTTCACTCTACTCGCATACTTCTGGTAGCGTAAGGGTCTACGGCGAGCTGAGTAGGTCGTTCGTAACTAGCAGCGGTGTTCGTCAAGGGTGCCCTCTATGCCATTCCTGTTCAATTTCCTCATAGACGAAATACTGGAGAACACACTAAGTGGTCCAAAATGTAGGTATTGAATGGGCAGCTGGTGAAAAGCTGTGCGATCTGGAGTACGCTGACAACTTCGTCTGCTTGTTCGAATGTATGGAAGAGGCACAAAGAGCACTTGAAAGATTATCAAGTCCTGTCGCTCCGTTCGGCATGCGCTGTGCACCTTCAAAGTGCAAAGTAATGCTATAAGACTGGGTGTCGCCGATTTCTGCTCTAAAACTAGACGGTCATGAATTAGCTGAAGGTGACTGCTTCTCGTACTTAGGTAGCTGCGTGACCAATGACGCTAGCACATCAAAGGAGATACCCGTCCGCATTTCCAAGGCTCGAGCAGCGTACGCACGGCTTAACCACCTGTGTCGGCGACGTGATGGAGTTGAAAGTCGCATATACTGCGCCACTGTGCGATCAGTTCTACTTTACGGTTGTGAGACCTTGAATTTGCGGGTAGAAGACATCCATCGCCTAGTGGTTTTCGACAGTTGATGTTTACGTAGTCTGGCCCAAATGGGATGGAGTGAGCGGGTTAGTAACTTAGAAATAAGTCGTCAGTTGTTTGGGAATGCATCGAACAAGAACTCATTATCGCATCGAATTCAGCTCAATAAACTCCGTTGTTTAGGACACGTTTAGCGTATGTCCGACGGTCGCCCACCGCAGCTCGCCTTATTCGCAATGGCTGTTGCAGGCTGGAGGAAGCCACGTGGAGGCCGGCAGATAATGTGAAGACGAGGTATGAAGAAATACACAAAGCGATTAGGTGAAGTAGGTGTCTATCTTCTTCCGGGATGGGGTTCAAAAGACTCCAAAACCGCATGGTTGGAAACACTAAAGGTCATGGCTGTGAACCGACAGCAATGGCGATCATGCTGTCACTTCTTATCAGAGCAGGATGCTTCAAAGGGTATGTATGCACAGTTGAACTGTGTGCTCTGTGTTGACCATAGAGGTTCGCTTTCTTTTCCCGTCCCTAAAATTAAGTCCAACCCCTATCGTCCTTACACATCCTCACTTACCTTGTATGCAATATGAGTTTGGCAGCGATCAGCGAAGTTCGCTTCATTGTATTACGCTGTACAATAGTGATGATGATGCTCCCTGCCTCGGCAAACATCGCTCGTCTTGAAAACCTATCTGGTGACATGCGTAACATGCTGCAACCAACGTCTATGGAGGTTGAAGACCTACTCCAGTGGACGACCGTGATTTCCTAAAACTGCGTCTAACCTCAGCACTGTTTGTCCGACTACCCCACCAGACTCATGCAATGCGACGTAGACAGCGGTGTTCTAAAACAGAAAATCTATTTTTATCCTTTTCCCGTACTGGCCAGGTGTATGCATCGTTGAGCAGCACTGGCCGAACTGCTACAGCACATACTCAACCCTTCACAGACAACTGGATGTCGCGACTGCGCTACAGATGTCTCAAGTTGGCAAGTATCAACCAAGCCTTTTGGACGCGCGCCGACACTTTATCTGTGATGCGTCCGCCAGGTGAGATATAGCTGCCTAGCAAAACTTCCCAATTCAGGGTGAGGTTGGGGGCTGGACTAGACCAACCCAATCTTGCAGCAACGCTTCGAACGTGCATAACGCATACCGAGCATGGATACACTAGCACTCAAGCTAACCAGAAAAGCTTGCAACTCGATCTTCATTTAGTAGCACAAGGTCGTCTGCGTACTTTAGATCAGACAGTATGCCACCTGGGAGTAAATCAATGCCACTTTCCTCGCACGAGGATAGGGATTTTTCAGGAATTAAATCTATGACAAAGGTACATAGAAATTGAGAGAGACAGGACAGCCCCGTCGAATCCCACTTTCTGTAGTGATCTCGGGTAAAAAGGTGCTATAGTCTCTAACTCGGCTTCTGCTATTAGTAGAAAGGGATTTTAAGAATAAAATAAACTTCTCCGACACCCTTTAGAGCGAGGCGGCGCCAGAGTTTAGAGCGGTTGACTGAGGCGAAAACCGCTTTCAGATCAGGGAAGGTAGGAATGGTGGGTCTACGAAAGGATTTTCTGTGTTCTAGAATTTGATGAAGAGTGAAGATCTGGTTGATACAACCTCGACCAGATCTAAAACCAGCCTAGTGAGGATGAGGAGATCTTCCAGTGCTAATCCTCAACATCTCTGACGCCAGGGCGACATCCCTTTGAATGAAGGAGTGTGTATACTGCGCAACGGTACGTGCTAAGTTATTCAACGGATGCGATACTTGGCCTTTCTGAACAGATCATATCCAACGACCATCCGTCTTCGACAACTATTGCCTGCACAGTGTCGATGTGCTCTAACGACGTGTTAGGACTCAGGTAGGCTTCCATTGAGCAGAATACTTTGTTCTATCCTGTCCGAGATGATTGGGACATATCCTACGAATGTTCGTGCATCGTGTTCTCTAGTGTGTGTTATCCGCAGACTGAAAGAAACAACGATGTGGATAATTTTTGGTGTGGCGTAGAGGATTGAAAAACTTGTGTTCGGTTGTGGCTTCCATTTTTTCTATTGTGCAGTGTTGGCACCTTGTCTATTTCTGGTTGATGGGCAAATATTTTCTACATGAGAGTAGTGGAGCATATGTCTGAATTGTATGGTAAATTTCGCGATGTATAAAGCAAATAAACATTTTCAGTTTATATTCCTTCCAGTGCAAATTATACGCAGAATTGTTACTAGACAGTAAGTTGTGGTCAAAATCTTGTTTGGTTTATATTCATTAAACGCTATACACCACCTGATACCCGCTGCAATCTACTCTACATCAACGATCACGTGTCTCCGCCGCGGAAGTCCTCCGTCTTACAGTTGCATTTACTATCATTGGGGTACTTCAATGCCCAAGGTTCGGACCTATGGTGTTAGGCAGCTTCACTGTCGTTCTGTATCGTATTAGTATCTAAACATAGATGTAAATATCTAATTTAGCTCGTTACACCAAGTCGCTCAGCTTAGATCACCGGGTACCACTACCAGATATTTTATCATGGGTTGGTGTAATCTGTGTAAAAAATGGCACCTCAGTAAGTGGATTAACGATTGAAACTCCGTAAGGGTACGGACTGGCCTTATCAAGCAACGCCCAACCTAACTGCCCGTGCTATGCCTTTGAATCAAGATTCTCACACATATTCGTACATTGTAGTGGCAATTTATGCTAGTAAGGGCATCATATGATCACTCTAAAGCCGTTTTCCAACATGCTATCACCATAGCTCATTACTCGTATCTGAAAATACTGGTTATTATTTCGCGGCATTAAAACAATGGTCTGGCCTGCGTGCAGCCCAGAGTTGAACCCAATAGAAAATGTCCGGACTATTCTTACACCAACACTTCAGAGTTTGCACCACAAAAATCAATTAGATGCCTTGTTGATTAGGGAGTGGAATAATATCGACACGGATATGATTCAAAATCTTGTATAAAGTGACTTCAATAGGTTAAGTTCAAGGGGCTGTAAGACTTCCGTCACAGGGTGTATATTGATGGATATATAGATCCGCTAATTGTTTAAATCACCATCATCCAAGGAATGGATCGCCGAGTTCCCGTATTTTTTCACTTCTTTCTGTAAAATGGAAGTGATAAATTCCTATCATTTTGAGTTAAAGAGACGTACGCATAGGACCTCTAGCATTAGCGTAGTACGTTAATAAGCCATTTATCTTCTCCCGAAGCTTAATAAATCTAATAACCATTTCATCTCACTTTTCATTAGCCGTTTGCTTACCTTCTCACCGAACTCCTATAGCCATTGTGCATCCATTTGATGTTCGATAAATTTGTCTTCATTGTTAATTATACAGTGATTTATTTGTTTCTATTTTTTTCTCATTCCAGGTGTAAAACGCACTCGCCATCTATCTGTTTGATGGCGCATCTCTTCCCGTCGTGTCCACCTTCACCTGAATTTGTGACCTACTACCGGACTCATAGACCCTGATGCGCACGCGTGATGATCACTCCACCGAAACACTCATACAATACTCTGAACTTGGGCTGTTTTTCTACGGGTACTTCGCCCCTGTTCACCTCGATCGACCGCACAATGACCGCGATTGCGGACTCAGTTCCTCCTCCTGTGTCTCACTGTCCACGTCCGTCGTCCGTGCCCAGCACGGCCGCGGTGGCAGGCGCAGTGGCTGCGGCGGCTGCTGGCTTTACTGGTCATCGAGATGCGCTTGGTTTTTTGTCCACTCGGATTACCTCACCACTTAGTGATGGCCCGCTAAACTCACCGACATTGGACTACAAAGAAAACGCGTCTGCCGCAACTGCGTACTCCTTGACCACACCACCCTCGTCATGTGGTCAACAAGCGTGTAAGTTGTATTTCAGTTTTCTCTGCGTTTCAGTGGAATCACGTTTTGGTATCTGCTAATTAGAACTCTTTTATAATGCACCAGTGACTCGGTGTTCTCTACCTGCAGTGACTATAAGTTATGTTGTCATTGCTTCAAAAGAACAACTTTGTGGAATCAGGTTAAAAGTAAGTGCGTTCTAAAATCCTCGGCGAGATCAACTACATGTGAAACCAAATAGTCGCTCGTTAATGGATGGATGAGACCTGCTGTTCGATCCCATGACCATAAAAGAAGTCCGTCAAACTGGTGAGGATGCATAGACTTCTGGGCTGACTCCGTTTTAGTCGATTAGGGAAATCGGCTCCTAGAGAGTCACTGACAATCGTGCACCCACAGTGCCACATTGCAATCTGCACTCAAGGAAGTCAGAAATGAAAGTATTGGCGTGTTGTTCGCAGGTAGGCCCAGCTGAAAAATCTTAGCGACCATGAAACATAAGTTAATCAGTGAATAATCAACATAGTACTCAACTGCTTGAATTTAAATACTTCAGCAACCGATCGCTGCGACCTCATGCAATGTTGAAGAATGAGTTTGACATCAGTAAAGCTTTAGTACTGTAGCAACAGAATCGCGATTAGTTATTTTTTTAACCAAGCTCCATGCACAAGCTACATCTTGGTTCGCGTTCTACACTAGTCGAAACGAAAGGTTTATGAGATAAGACTGCATTTCTTCTCGGCATGTTGTCCATGTTAATGACTACGTTTTAAGAACACGGCGTCTACAAGTGTATATACAGTTACTCGGAGTTTCCAGTTTGCATAGTTTTTCCTACAACGTTCAAAATACAGCCAACTTCTTCGCACTCTTTATTTCGCTTTAGCGATTTCCTTTCAGTTTTATCACAAGCATACTATCTGAAAAACGTTCTGAAGGAAACCTTATTGAATAGTCAACTGAATACATGCGTTAAAATTTAAACTATGCCGCTGATGTCGTTTTTCCAATGTTTGGAACATACTTGATAGACACTTGATACTCGCAGGCTTTGTTGCTCCTTTTGACATGTACTTATACATTGAGAAGTGCTGTTTCTTCTTTGAGACAAAAGGTTGCGGAATTAAGTGTCGCTAATTATTTGCCTCACTTACTCATTCGTTTAACAAATAGCTGGCAGTGCCCTTAGTATGAGGTCAACGTTGGAAGGTATTCACGAATGCTAACTTTACTACCTTTGTTGTTTTGGGTCGTTTGGCTAATACGATGAATTGGGTGCGTTAGCAACGTCAAGATAAGTTTATTGTTTTTGAGTGACTCCTAAAGTACTTCAATTGTAACGGCCGAACTGCTCCTGTGCTCCCTTGATCCGTCGTGGAGTCACTGGCGATGACCATGCATTGGCTTTTAACAGGTGATAGTTACACAACTTCATGAAGACATCTGCTGGGCTGAAAGATGGAACATACTTCGGTGGATTGGCTAGGAGTGCCAAACTATGTAGTAGCTAACTGGGGCAACCAAAACAACAACAACCAAAACCGGTGCATGCAAGTCCATGATTAATAGTTGCTCAAACTGAAACTGATTATTTTCGTCATCGCTTAGCAGATCATATCGCTTTCAATAAATGTGTTTCCGTATCTCGATTATATACCATCTTTCGGTCTCATAATTTGATATTATTCTACTTGTTTAAAACCGATTCGTTTCATGTTGAACACACACCGTCATGCTTACTCTGTGCATGGTGCGATCAGTTGGGCTCACGTTGTTGGTTCTCACTATACGTTCAGGATGATGTTGCTAGCCTACCAGATGAAGAGCGCTTATATTTTCCATTTACCACCCATTTTTTGTTCGGACGTGGATAATTTTCACACACGTCTGAATCCAGACTGTGTGCCAAACAAATCATGGCACAATAATCTTTATAAAAAGAAAAGCGTTCCATGATTTGCAAGTGGGTGAAATACTGCCAGGTTGCCCAGGCCAAGGCAGGTGAATTTTCTTGGGGAATCCACAACCACAGCATTTGGCCAGCCAAAGCCTGACCCGCAAGGCAGCGGTGCAGTCTGGGAAAACTGCAATCCATTGGGAGCCGGTGTCCAGTTCATCGGATCATACGCTCTTTGGACGGAGTCAAACGTCCAAG